CCTCTCTTCTTAGGGTTGAACCGACAGTTACACAATCACTGCTTTCTGCTCTAGCCGTGTCCTGTTAACAAAGTCAATAGCTTTTTCTTTTTTTTTTCTGGGTCCCACTTTGTGAGCCTGCCAAGCTGTCAGTGAGTCTCATGGTTGATCTGAGCCGGACAAAGTGTGATTTTCAGTTCATGCTCCTCAATTAAAACAGGATTAAAGAACGTGTTTCTGTGGGCCATTTCTTTAGATACTCATCAGATTGAATAGATGCTGAACATTATCCCACAATTTACTTTTTAAGGCAGATGCTTGACTCATTTCAACACAGGAATCTTCTCCAGCTGTCTTGTAAAAAGCCTCCTAAAGTCTAAACGTCCCATAACTTTATAATATGCCAGAAAAAAATTGTACGATATGAAGTTTGAAGTTTAACAGAAAAAGCTACACTTGAAATACTTTGTGACCTTGAAGAAGAGAGAGGATTTAAAAAGAATATGTGACAGAGATCAGGGTATGTTTCTTTAACAATGGGTTCCCAGGAAAACACCTGCTGGGCCAGATTAAAGCTCCGCTGTGACTCAGCAGCTCTTTAAAAGCGTGTTTGTAACTCCGAGTTGAGACTTAATTACAGTCTGTCATCCTTCATTAAGTCAGATAAGGCTCTGAGGCTGTTTCAATGTGGTCGAAAGCTCCACTTATTACACCTATGTAGAAACGTTTGGCCGCATCAACCGTCTTTCCTTTGGTGACCTTAAAGGATCTTGTTTTATCAGTTCATACTGCATTTTACTACAAGTCATTCCCACTTCCAAATTGTTCCTGTAAATTAATTATTTCATAGCCGCGTCCTGGAACTACTTTACATACTTTTTCATGATTTATAAAGATAAAACGTTCAGAAACGTACTCAGGTCTCAGGTGTTTTGTTGTTTGTTTGTTTTTTTATTCTAAAAGTTTTATAGCCTATAGCCAGGGCCGGTTTTAGAAGAATATGGACCCCTGGGCTAGAGCCAGTTTTGGTGCCCTATCCCAAATGATTTTATATATATATATATATATATATATATATATATATATATATATATATTACTATGCAAATTACAGAACATCAATAAGTAGATCCACACATTTGCAGGTACAACTTAGTTGGTTTAAAACATCTATCAGATGGCTTCATCTTGGTCCCAAAAAGATGATTTTCAAATATTTGAGTGTAGTTTAAATTAATTAAAACATAATATTTTAATAAAACACCACATGTGAAATGAGCCCATGTACCCATAAGAAAAAACAAAATTATTTCCCCCTTTTCCCCCCCAAAAAAATCTTGTGGCCCTGGGCTGCAACCTTCGTAAGCCCTTTCTAAAGACTGACCCAGCCTATGACACCCTATTTTTTGATACTGATCTCTGGGGCCAGATAATTCATGGAAAGAGACTGTGATGGCCCACAAAACCAAAATAAACCAGAACCACGTCTTGTATGTGGGTATTTTTCTGCAGTTACCAACTTAACCACCTAGCAGCAGACTATGAACAGCTCATATAAATTACTTTGACTCATCAGCTGCCAAACAAGAAAGAAAACAGCCCATTGGTGGTTACAGACATATGGTATGACAGATCCCCTGCCCCCTCCGTCATAACAACCACAAATGGAAGAATATTAAACGAATTGGCGAAATTACCGGCAGCGTAGTGACCTTTCAGTCTGTTTAGATGCAAGGAAACAGAAAATTCCCCTTTATAAAATTAAAAACAGCTTTAAAGCTTCTTGTCCCTCTCAGTGAGATCTGTTGGAAACTGTATCATAATTAGAAAAATGTGTTGTTGTTTTTTTTTTTCTTGTGGGCCTCAAAGAGGCACCATCCGGTAGTGAGTCGGACTCGATTTCCTTCTGACCTGCTTGACGAATACGGGCCCTGAACGCAGCAACGGACAGCACAAGCTTGATGAATGTACTGCAGTAGCTGCTCACTCTCATTTAAATCACTGCTTTTTTTGTATGATTTTTTTTTGTGTGTGTGTGTGTGTGTGTGTGTGCGCAGTGAATCTATAATTCCTTTGATTTGTGAAGCTGAAACTTTACTTATTTTCTCCGTTTTTCCTGTTGAATAACACGTGTTGATGGTATTTTTCGTAGAGACTGTGCCAAGAGCATCTTAAATTATGAAGCAAAAAAGAAGCTTTTTACTTTAGTTTGGACGTCCAAACTTACACTGGTGACATCTGCTTGAGTCTGGACTTTTTTCTGCAGTCACTTGATGAATGTTTTACTGGTTGTGTTGGAAATTGTTCAACAGGAATCATTGGCAGCATTATCGGTCCGAAGATGAAGGAGGGAACACTCATATAAATGTGGACAGAGACTATAGAAATATTTCACTGTGGACAAAATTACAGGCATTTTTGAAAAGCTTTACAATGAGCATGTAACGCTGCATTATGTAAAAACTCCACAATATGATTTAATGTAATGAAATCAGCCTTTGCGTCATTTTTTGTGTCATTAATAATGACACAAAATGTAATGAAATCTTTGAGCGCATTTTCAATCGTTTTGCCTTGAACACTTGATACTGAGTGTTCTGGCTATGGGTCTGAAAAGGAAACTAAATGACCAAACATTTGGCTTTTATTGACTCAATTTGAATGCAACATGATTAGTATTACAAGTATGATGATTCAGATGAAAATGAGCAGTTTCTGATTGTTTATTACATAGTTTCGAAAAAGAAAAAAGAGCTACCTCCACATTTTGTAATAATCGGCACAAAAGGTAATAAAATCCTTGTACGTTCTGCTGCATATGTAAAACGTTACATTTTGCGTTTATTATTACATAATGCGGTTTTAATTGTTACATTTTGAAGCCAAATTTTCAGATATTATTAACATAATGCTGCGTTACAGAGCAAAGAGAAAACAAAATCCATTTGCTGTGATGTCTTCTGTTTACTTCTGTTCTTTTGTTTTTGCTTTTTGATTGGTTTTAGTTCCATGGTGCATTGAGTTATTGTCGAAATTCAGGGTTTTTTGTTTTTATTTCCATAGAACTATTGTGTGTCCATCCAGATTTACGTGTTTCTTAGTGGGCGGCGCCCTTTAAAGCTACGGGATTATGCCCTGATATTCATTCCAGTGTCTCAGGTGGACTGAGACGAGCACTGAGTCAACAAAACATTATTGCACTGCTTTCAGTGATGAATGTACAATCAACATATTGTCTTCTGGCAATAATCTGCTGTTTTAATCGAGAAATAACATCAAGAAGCTTCTCGGCAAGGGGCAGTAATATATCTAGAATATTTCTTTTTTTTTTTACTGATATAGTAAGAGTGTAAGCATGTGTTTGAAACACAATAAAATCCACAGAAACTAACAGCCGTTTGTCTTTCATTTGAAATTTGCATTGTTTTGAAATGTCGAAGCGTCGCAGAAACAAAGTGACGGACGGTCATCAGTCTTGAAAAGCTTTTAAAAAAATAAGAGCTGTTTTCTAAAGTTTTGCTACTCTGGCGAACCGCGGTGAAAGCCGTTATCCACAAATGGAAAACAAAAACTCGACTTGTGAAACTGATTGGGCAGGCCCACTGACGTCTACGCCTTGACTCATCCAGGAGGTCACGGAGAAAGGCATTACGCCTGACGCAACACATGCCTCGCCCCTTCTGAGTCGAGGTCAGTGTTCGGGATTCGGTACCGAGAGTAACCTCTCCCATGGGATCCATTTTTGGTTTCCATGAGAAGAGTTTTATGGCCATAATCACTTCTGACCAAATGGATCCACAAACACATCGTGATGGACCCCAAGAGTGTTGGGGAAAAATATTCTGTGGGACAAAAATTGAACATTTTTGGACCTGGACAACAAGCTTTCCTGCTTGTTGTCCAGCAGAACGAGGTCAGTCAGATTTGACTTGGGTTTTGCAGCAGGACAATGATCCAAACACTCAAAAACAAATGTTTTGGTATGGTCTAGTCAAAGTCTCTGAAAAATCCTTAAAACAGATGGTTGAAAACCCTTCTACCGTGGCTTAATGAAACGCTTCTGCAAAAAGACCACAATTCCTCAATCATAAAAGACACTCAGCTGAAGTACGACGTTTCATATTTATTCAGGTTGTCTGTCAGGTATGAAAAATATGTCCAATGACTTGAAACTCTCAAGAGAGACGGCACTTTTATGTCTTGAAATGTGCTCCATGAATAAAGCTTTGCTTATATTTCAGTCTCATAATCTTACATTTGAGAATAAAAACAACCTGTAAGTTGAGTATTTATTTAGTAGAGGGGGGAAAATCAATTTTCAGAAGCAGATTTTTTGTGAGCAGAAAAGCTTTTAGACTCGCACAAAAGTCTAGTTTCACTTTAACTCATCCCACACATTTTGTTCATAGGCTTGAAATGTGATTAATTTCAGTGTTAGCTTGGTCATGCGTTCTGTTGTACTCATCCTGCTAAAAGATCCAATGACACATTGGGTTAATTTAAGGTTTTCAGCATATTTTGACAGCGTTATCAACATACTATCAGAGAAACTCCAAGCTAAGGACTTCTAAGGAACTAAAAAAAGAAGAAAGAAAACACAGCTGGGTAAGTTTTGAGTGCAGATGTTCTGTGGAAAAGGGTGGGTGTAATTAGCGTCAGTTAGCGCTCTCTCACGAGTTAACCCTGTAGAGGCAAACAGGCTAAAACAAAATTCATTTATAAATATATCTTAATAGAGGGAAAGCAGTTGCATAATTCAGTAGATTTTTTTTTCTCACATTACAGTATTACGGATACGGGGTCTGTTTTCAATGTACTTTCCGCACTAGAGCTGTAGAGTTTTTCTCAAGAACTGATTTTATAGTTTGAAAGTACAGTTGAAACCAGAAGTTTATATATAGTAAATAAAAAGACGCATTTTTGGTCTGATTTAACTCAAGACAGTGTGGAATTTTTTTAAATGTTTTTTATAGTATTATTTGCTTTATGTAAACTTCTGGTTTCATCTGTGGAGTAGAGCATGTCAGATGTCTGATGGCATCTGTTGGCATCTGATAGGAAGGGGAAATCGTTGAGGCATGTTTCTTTTGCCAGAGAAGATGATTTTTTTCTGTATTCAGAGATAATGGATGAGTTTTCGGCGATGTCAGATGACATAACATGATACCATCTGTGCCGCGCCTCCATATTAAAAAAATCCCCTACAATTCCAGCCTTGGGTGGTGCTACTTTCAGGTACAGCGTGGGCCCGGATCCGGGGCCCCTCCTACTCCGGGTATAGAGTCTGAGCTGAGCTGAGGGAAGAGCCCAGTAATCACTCTGGCGCTGGAAGAGGCAGCAGCGCGCGGATATGATGTAAAGTGACCCACGCCGTTCTCACACCGTGATGAACGAATCCGTGGCAGACCTCGGGCATGCGGACGCGCCTGTCTTACAGGGACTGTGGGAGAGCGTGAGAGCCGGGCAGCAGCAGATCCTGCTCTCCCCGTACCTGGCCGCGTCCTTCGCCTTCCTCACGCACCTCGCGCTCTGCGCACCTTTCCTCGTGCTGGACGCGCTGGGAGGCGTGTGTCAGCGCGTCCGCTCGTGGAGGATAGCGGCGGGCTCGGGCCCTCCGCCGTCCCTCTGGAAGTGGTACGAGTGCTTTTGGAGGGTCCTCTTCAAGTACATCACGGCGGTGCTGCCCGCCACGGCGCTCTTCCAGCTGCTGCGCAGCTCGAGCCTACCGGAGCTGGCCCCGTCCTGCTGGCAGCTGTCTGTGGAGGTGGTCGCGTGCTTCCTGCTCTTCGACACATTATTCTTTATATGGCACTACTGTATGCACAGGTGAGAAATAAGATTTTAAAAATAGCCTACGGCTACTTGTGGCACGTTCAGAGCAAACCGAATCATCTGGAATGATTCTGATGTGGTTTGGAGAAAACAATGTGATCTGATGGAGGCAACAGTTGGTAATGTCTTATCTGTGGCTCTTCCTATTTATTTTAATCACACTTCTTAATTGCCATTGAATGTTAGGGCAGAATGAGCCTAAATATGCTTCCCAAAAACCGCCAATATCAGTTTTACGACTTTAGTTTTACTTTTTGAACAAGTTAGCCATTTATCTTTAACTATAAAATGCCCGTAGTAGTAAAATGAAACAGTCATTTTCTCAACATCAGGCCAGAACTGTCTTAGTGTGACACTGAAAATTCACAAATACTAATATGAGACAGGGCTAACCTCCCTTACTCTGTATAAAGTGAGTGTATCCACTAGGCTTTAACCTGATAATATAATGTATGCTGATTATTTAATATAATTAAACAGTGCTACAGGTACATATCTGAGAGAAAAGAAAATCTTCAATTTATATTAATGTTATTTAATGTTACCATATGGAAGCCTTTCTGTAGTAAGCAATCATTAAATATTTATGCCATTGTGTGGGTTTTAAATCTGCAGTTAGAGAGAACTTTCTATTATTTCAAAAAACAGAAAATGATTATAGAGGAGACATTTTAAACTGATATGTTTATCCTGATTGACACAGTGAGTAACTGCAGCGTCTGACTTCATTTCCTGATGACTAAGTAAACTGTGTCCCAACAGAGCAACTTTTCTGTAATGTGTTTCGTTTTCTGTTATCTGCTCCCATTTCTAAAAGCTTGAACGAGGAGCCAACACTCCTCAATAAAAAAAGTTAACTTTAAGCTTCTTTTAGGTTTCATCTGCTGCTTTCAACACATCTCCTTTTCGCTCTAATAATTTCCACATCAAAGCGTGTCGGTGCAGAACAGGAAAAGATCAGATTTTGAGTTTCCAGCAGGAAACAGATTAAACCCAGGCAAGCTTAAAATGATTTGGTTCCTGTTAACATCTAATGGTTCTGCACACCTCTGATTGGGATCTAAGACCATTTCTAGATAAGCTTATTGTGTGGAAACCACCACAGTACCACTCCAGTCTACATACATGTTACAACATGACAGTGTGTGCAAATCGAAAGATCAAAACTTTGTAATGATGGATGTTTAGGTTGTTTGCTTGGAAGTAAAACTGGAATTTTATCAGAAATTTGAGGACAAAATGTATTTTACATTTAAAAATGAACAGATAATGTCCTCTTGCTTCATAATATTGCTCTAACTGGCAACTGCAGGCAACCAGCTTGTCTATATGGGACACCTGAATTTTCAAGACAGGACTTGCAAAGGAAAAAAAAAACAGCAAACAAAAAAAGAAAATTAAAGCAAGTGAAAAGATGCTAACAGCCTATCTTTACTCTTGATACACTATTTTGGATTTTGGATCAGTATGCAAACAATGACGGTGTAGTCAATGTAAACAACCAGTTTTACAGCATCACTTTATAACAGGATGTTCTTGATACTTGTAATATTTTGCAGATGACAAAATGTTGCTCCGGTTAGCTGTTTACAAGTTTTAAATGAGAGCGTGTCAGATTTAAATGAGCCTGTGGCTGTTTACAACTGCACTTAAAACCTAATTAATAACATCCAAGTGAAGAATTTGTTTGAATATCAAACCTCTTAAGACTTTTTACAGCAAAATAATGCAAAACTATCACCTCATGTAATGTTACGCTGACGACACGCTGCTTTCATTAAACAGACGAGACGATGGAGGTTTTGTGTTTTCTAGAACTTATTCTTCGTGGAGGAAAACATAAAATGTGAATAAAAGGGTTTAAACATCATGCCTTACTTTGTGTTTGAATTATTACTGTGAACATGTATGAACCATAAAGTTATTAGATAACAGCAGATTAGACCAATTCAAAAGCAGTGACTATCACCAATACTTAACCTCAGATATCGGGGTTGAAAGTGAAAAAAGTGCATCCCTATTTGTGAGCACATATGTCAGGGATTTAAAACTCATGATGTATTGATAAAACCCACTAAACAGTTTAAATATCATTAAACAGCTGTTTGTTTCAGCATTCAGTTAAATAATATTGAACATCTTTTCACACTGGTCAGTCCATTCAGGATTTCTTCATTGTTTTAATGTTTTGTTTGAGATCAAAATCACAGAGTTTGTTTGTGCTAAATTAGAAATACCTGTGAGGAATTTTTTTTTACCATATTTGCACTCATGTATGATGTTAAATATGACTTTTTATTAATCGCCATATCAGTCACGGACTATAACTTGATATCAGCTACGGCTGAGACAGCAGTCACTTAGACCAAATGTTTATGGCCAAATTTGAGTAAAAAATTGTAGCAAAAATCAGAAAAAAGTGGGAATCTGTGGATTTTGTGTGAAGTTTGCAATTTGTGAAAAACTGGATGGACTTATTGATGTAACATGGAGTCTAGAGGGCCACATAAAAAGCTACGGCGAGCCAGATTTGGCCCCCGGGCCTAGAGTTTGACACGTCAAAGTCTCTCTGATCTCTGACCAAACCTCCACAGTGGACTGTTGAATGGACAACAAACTGAGACCATCATGTTTTTGTTTCCCCGCCTAGGGTTCCCTGGCTGTATCGTGCCGTCCACCAGATGCACCACCAGCACCACGTTCCCTTTGCGTTGGCGGCGCAGGACGCCAGCTCGGCTGAACTGCTGTCGCTCCTGCTGCTGGCCCTGGGCAGCGCCTGGATGCTGGGCTGCCACCCACTCAGCGAAGCCCTCTTCCACTTCCTCAACAGCTGGCTGGCGGTGGAGGACCACTGTGGATACAACCTGCCATGGGCGTTGCACAGAATACTTCCCTGCATGGGAGGAGCCCCCTTCCACCAAACACATCACAAGAAGCAGAGTAAAAACTTTGCCCCCTACTTCACACACTGGGATCATCTCTTTGGGACATACATAGAGCCACGTTCCTATTTCAGGAAGAGACACGACAGGACGGTCATGAAGTGAATGGTGAATTTGCCATATACCTGTTTGTGTGTGCGTGTGTGCGTGCGTGTGTATGTGGGGAGGGGTGTTATCATTGTGTACTCATATGAAGGCATGTTTCTTTTGGCTTGGGAAGACTGACATACAACATCTCTTAAGATGAATAAATGCAGCTAAACATTTCCTGAACATCACCAATATTTTTAAATGGTTCTTTTGACACAGTAGATAAGTACACAGGATCTGTACATATGTATTTATGAAGAGAGAGAAAATCCGAAATATATTATTGTAATCATCTGCAGCTAAAAGTTCAAACCCATCAGTGTTTTTTTTTTACCTACCTCTGCTCTCAGTACCTCTTGTCTTTTAAAATTCAATCACGTGGTTCAAATGTTTACTATGAAATGGGACATCATTCACCAAAATGTGTTCATTTTAGATTAACAGACATCTTGTGTTGTTCACCATGCAGCTAGTATCAGCTTTTTTCCTCCTGCATGTTTATTCACTTTCTGCCAAATTTGTATGGATGTAAAAAAGTGTCAAAAATGCTGTTTTTTATTTTGTATTTTCACAAAATGAATAAAAGTTTTGTAGATCTCTGACTGTAATCTAAATACCTTGTCGTGTGTAGATTTATCCAGCTCATATTTGATCAGATTATGTTGTTTCAGTGATTTATAACTAAACATACAAGATTCCAGATGAATTATAAAAAGTGTAAACTGGAAATTTAATCCACAGAAAACGGCAAATCCGATTCTGTCTTCAGCCACTGTTGTGCTTTCATAGCTGCACAACACAGGGGGGCGCCCAGTCCCCACGGATGACACACTTACAAAAGCAACATAAAGTTGCTCATTGTCTAACTGACAGATGATTTCTCATTTTTCTCCCCTTTTGATCTCTCATGCCACTCCCTGACAGAACAATGGTGAGCCTCATCACTCATATCCAAACCTGCTACTGAACAGAAAAAAAAAAAAAAAACATACTAAAAGATCAAGAGCATATTTTCTGGGTCAGCTCTTACTTCGTTTAAAATAAGCTTCTAAAATTTACAAAATTAAAGTTTGGTTTTGCGGCCGACATCCAAGGAGGTGCATTCTTCTGCTTTTCCAAGTTTCATTGGAATTTGATCCCGATGGATTTGTAATCAGCTGATTGTAAACATTTTCAGTTTGAGTGATTTTGGTTAGCCTCTGAGACACTGTTAGGTTTGGAGTTCCTTCACTTCCCTACAAACTCACATCAGCGTGGCACATGTCTCTTTACTGTAAGAAAACTGATAATAAAGTCATACAACATAAATTAAAAAAAAAATCAAACTATTACTGTTGCTGTAAGCTTGAAAAGGATCCACCTGAAGACACAGTCACATCTTTTTCTGGTTCAGACTGCATCAAAATATCTGCGTTCAGGCCCAAACCCTTAAAGGGGCAGTATACTGTTAACGTCAGTTGTTATAAAAACTTTATTTATATAAAATATGACTTAAAAGAAATTTAACTTCCTAACTTAACACCTTGAAATTGGGTCTCTGTCTCTTTAAAAACTCCTGCTCTTTCTGAAGCTCCACCTTCATGAATTTGTCACAACATGGTTCCTCTATTAATCCTTTAACAACATTTTTCCCAGTGATGCTCTGAGAAATGGCTAACGAGCTCAGCAGATGCTCAGTTTCACTAGGTGTTTGCTGATTGATGCTGGCTAGTCTGAAGGAGCAGAGAGGGGGAGTCACAAGAAGGGTCTGCTCTGTGATTTTTGCGAGGAGCTTCATTCTGGAAGGCGCACCAGATCCAACCAGGTGTTTGGCACAGCTGAATGAATGGAATAACATAATGAGATGTAAAGTTCACAAAATTAGATTTTACATAATACTGCCTCTTAAAAGCTAACTAGGAGGTGAAGCCTAAGCCATAATTCTAAAACAAAACAAAAAAGCCCCAACATTTAACTTAGAGACTGTTTATTTTTGTCCAGAAAAAAACAGTCTCTAAGGGCTTTGTGTTGTGTTTAGAATATGAAGCAATTTATTGTCGAAACAAATTGGGAAACCAGTCGCTGCCTTTCAGCTAACAAAATGTTAGAGGAGGATAGTGGGGAAAGGAAGAAGGGCATGTCTTAAGACTGACCTTATTTTGCTGTAATAAATATATTTTTTCAGATTATGAGTATAGTTGAAGTATGTGAAGGCAAGTCAAATATTGAGTTTCATATTTTGCCTTCAGTTTCTAATAATAATTCAGATGTCCTGTGGCTATCCGCTGTTTCATTTCACATCCAACCACTTCCATGAAAGACTTAACTTTGCAGTTAAAACCACATGTTCATTGCCTGATGTTTCTGTCTCTTGCACAATGATTTTGGCACGCCTACAGTTTTCACATTGTAGGAGGATGGGAAAAAGCTCAGCTGTGGAAGCTTTCTGCACCTCCTTACGAAAGTAAAGTACGATACATGCTGTGTGGAAGAAAAAAAACGCTGATTCGTCATGCCTGAAGTCAGTAAGACGGAGACATGTAAACAGTTAAAAACAGAATTACCCAGAGAACGCCAAGCGTCTCCTGATGAAAATGCACAAACGCGACGTAAAAAGCACAGGTTAATGCCAAGGAGCAAAAACAAAATAAAAAATCACTGGATAGAAAATGAGATGACGACTCTTCTGAAAAGGAGCCAACATTCAGATTCAAAACATGTGGTAAGAGGTCTGGGAAACGGGACCAAGGTGCAGTAGGAGAAGCACCCGAGTGAAAAGAAACGGATAACTGAGAACAGCAGACCAGGAAGATAAGAGGAGACAGCTGGAACGTGGATGCTCAGATGCTTTAGTTACAAAATGAACTTCTTAAAGTAGCCGGAAAATATTAAAGGATTTCAATGTTCAATTGGTTTTTACACACTATTACTTTTCTGTTGTTAATATGACTTGAAGTAATAATAATCTGTGAAAAGATCAAACTCCTCTAATAAATGTACCACTCCCAACCAAAAACAACCAATCAGATCCAGGACGATGGTTTTAGTGTTGTCCATTATGTTTGTGTACATGCTGCTCAATGTGTTTATGGTAGAGAAACAACTTACCGTTCCAGGAAAACCGTTTATCTGCCATCATCGGAGGCTATACTTACTAGCCTTAGCATTCTTGGCAGGCTGTGATGAACCAGCTGCAAAGTAGAGAGTAAGACATTTCTCTTGGCTCTGATTCGTTGTTTTTGACTGAGTAGTGTATTTCTGCAGCTAGTAGTGTAAGCTCTGGGAGAATTATTTTTTTGGCTTGATTTTTTTCATTCATTATCTGTCTTAAATTATACTGTCAAAACATAACGGTAATATGATGTAACATTAAAAAAACACATTTTTTGAAAGTTACAAGTTGCATATTTAGATACATTTTGCTTTTATAAAGTAAATCAGCATAACCGGGGGTGGGGTGGGGAAATCTGTCTTATTGAATGCTATTTTATTTTATTTAATTTTACACAGTTTTTCTTTTTTAAACTGATACGCTGACCGGAAGTACGTTACATGTTCAGTTCAGAGTATGCGTGTCCCACAGGAAGATTATAGGCGCTGCACCGTCTTCTACCTACGATTCTAATGTAAGTGATTATTACTGTCTGTGTGAATAATCAACCAGTACTAATGTGACGATAGTTTAAATGTTCATACACCACTGTTATTAGATTTTATTATGAGACTGGAGTTGTTTAGGTCAGCATTGGTCTTGGTTTTTTTCGTAGTAGTTATTAGCAGTAAAGATTTTGAGATTGCGGTCGTTTAGTTTTAAGACAATGGATGTCCGATTTTTTTTTCTTGGTCTGTGTCAGACAAGCCTTAGCTTCGTTTTATGGGACATGCTAACCTTGATTTACACTAAAATATGAACTGCACAGCAATATCGCCAGAGTTAAAATTTCAGTGTTAAGCACATATTAGAGTGCATTGTTGAGACTTTGGTGCTGTATACACAATAAATAACTCAATACAAATGTGATAACATAATATTAAGGGTGTTGATGGTTTTCAACACAGACAGTGTAACCTCGAACGACCAGCTGCTTGACCAGGTTAGCTTCTGGAAGAATCCCGCCGACGCCATTTTCTTTGCTCGGTGAACTGACTAAGTGGGGGAGTATGTAAGTAGCAAACTTCTAATATTTTTTTTCGGTCATTTATACTTATTGTTGTTGAAATATTTCGATATTTGGAGTTTTGTTTAAGTCTTGTTAAGAGAGGAAAAATTCTTGAACTTTAAAAACCTTTTGACTCATTAAATCCTCTCTTATGCCCGGGTTCAGAAAAATGCTGTGCGCAAAGACTGAGATCACGCAGAGATAATAGCGTCACAATTATCAGCATTTATTCAAGACAGATGCATACTATCACCAGACAAGCACATCACATAACATCAGAAACCTTAGAGCACAAACAACACATGAATTTACCTGAGAGAGAAAAAGACAAAAGATGGAAACGACAAACAAAAAGCAAAGACGTCTTTGGAGAATTGCAAGGGCAAATCTGATTTGTTACTTCTGTGTAGAAAGTTTTATCTTCTTTTCTTTAATTTATTCAAACAAGGCGTATCTTTGCTCATCCAACCAGGAGCTATCTCTGACCCTCTATCTGAAGCCAGAAACCCCTGCCGTGTTTATGGCCTTTCACAGATGAGTGTGAAAAGCTACAACTTCCACTGTATTGTTTTCCCACAAACAAAAGGCAGTTCAAACGATCCTAGCAAACCATCTGCTGTAACTACAGTTAAATTAAGGTCAATAGGCCAGAATAAGTCACTGATTTAAAACCACAATTTAGGCCATTTGAATCAAGACATGTTAAGTTTTAAAACTAGCTTATTTCAAATTTATTTTCTCAACAGTTTTGGTGGATGGACTGAAACCTTAATGCATTCTTTGAACGATAACCTTTCAACACTTACTTGAAAAGTACTCGAGACAATATTTGTACGTAGTAAATATTCTGTAAAAAAAAAAAGTTAGCACAACTGCGGCTTTTCTAATGCTCCTTTAAAAAGGCAATTCTCACAATCCTTCATACAATCATTGCAATATTTTCAGTTTCTCCAGGGAATGGATTTAAGGATTACTTGTACTGCAAAATGAAAGTAAAAAAAACAGAAACAAGTTATTTTGCTTGAGAAATCTCTCGGAGTTGTATAACTTTACATGACCAAACACAACATCTGTGTGTCATTACCAGCGCTTTATACAAGTTAAATTGCGCAACAACAAATGGAAACTGTTAAAGTGCTGGAACATTCGGAGTTGATTTTGGATGTGAACATGGAGCAGGGATTGAGAAAAAAAAGTGCTTTTCCTGAGAAAGAAAAACAAAGTTTCTAGAACAGAGCGAGAGATGAGTTGCTTGGGTGGTGGAGTTGCCGAGAGATGAAACGATAAAGAACAGGACCCAAAGCAGGAAACAATCAGGCTCTATTACAGACCAAACGTCAGAGTTTTAGGGCGAGTCATGCAGCTTTGGGTGGCACACACCAGAAACACACGTTCACAGCGAGATGCACATCGAAGTCCAGCAGCAGGCTTCATGATGTCAGCCGGGGGAGAATCTCTGGATTACAAAACACTTTGTAAGTGTCTGCACAGTCGCTTCTGTCTGGATTGCTAACTCGCTGTCCTATGCGCTCCTGCTGAGCATGTCATGTTGGTGAGATCGGATGCAAGCTGCCATGTAAAAACACGCGGACAGCCTCGAATGTTTTGACACATGCAGGCCCTTCAAAACAAGAGCTTGAAAAAACCCAGGTCACACTCCAGCCGTCCTTATCATCAGACCACATGCTGCTAACTTCCCATTTCAACATGCCCCCTGTACGGTTGAAATCAGGAGACAAAGGCCAGATTCATATTTCTTCTAGAGTTCTGTAAATATTCAATTAGAGAGCCTGAAATAGCTGAGCTCTTGACTTGTTATACAGTCAATAAGGTTGTGACCCTTTAGTCATTAGCCATTTTAAGACAGCCTTTGCTCTAACATTAGAAGTCTCTAAGTGTCCAACTGTTTCCATTCAGAAACATTCATACACTTGTCTTTTTGGACTTTTGCCATATTACAGCTTGTAGGAAGACTCCATTCAGATTATATAATTACCAGACTGTACAGTAGCTGTTTTTTGTTGTTTTTTTTAATGCAGGAAATAAGTACTGAATACATAAATGAAAATATTTAAAAGGTCATAGAAAGCCAAGAAGCAAACTAAAATGTGTCAATATTTACAAAGCATTCCTGTTGCCATGTGCAACTCACTATAGTTTAATATTAACTGATGGGCCATAAACAAGTTTCTGATTACCAACAGTACTACATTAAGTTGAATGATTAAAATGTAGAGTAAAACTAAAAAAAAAAAAAAAACACTCCCAAAAAAATCTTAGTTTTGCAAAAATATACTTAGGGCAATTTTTAAAGCTACATATCAAAACTTTTGAGTGCCCAAATGACCACCAGTGAAGACATAATCCAGATAAGAAAAGAACATAATTTTACCATGAGCATCCATGGCCATGTGTCCCTTCATCTAAAGTGTTGTCCAATAAATCATAAGTTCTTCTATGAAGCTTCAAAAAGTTCTAGAAGTAGCAAGTTCAGTTTTTCTAATTAAAACACTAGCAATAGTAATTCACTGAAATACAATTGCTTATATGCACACTCATTGCACAAGACTTCACTGCTTAAGAAAGTTTGCTGCAGAAGATTTGAACAAGACAGTGAAATTCTAGGAGAATATAGTCTGGTCGTGTGGGGCCAAAGCTGAATGGTGGTCACACACACACACACACACACACCATCATGGGATGTTTCAACATCATGCTGGAAGAAAACTAGTTAAGGACTAGTAACAGGTCAGTGGTAGTTGCAGTTATCCCAGTTTGTGAAGATAAAAAACCCAAACAATCAAAAAACACTTGCAAGGTTCTGTCAGTACCCTTTAGATACAGTCAGAAATATTACCACATGCTGTTTAGTGACTTATTCCAAACAGCATTGGGAGGTGTAACTATTTGCACCAGTTAGTGCACATAAGAGGCCACCCATTTTTGTTCATTAGAATGGCTTCCGCTTATTTTCCCATGGTTCTCTGTTAGTGTGTTGCACATGAACTATGACCTTTGAGCTGATATCGGTGGTATGAATGATCTGAATGTCAGCAATGCCTTCTGTGTCTGCTCCAACAGCCTCGTCTTGATATAATGGCAAAGACAGTTGACAGTTCGAGACCGCTCTGAGTGATGTTTGTGAATGCAAGAAAATATATCAATCATGGCTAACATCAAAACTTCATTTCTCTGAGAAATGCTAGCTCCAAATATTAACATGCATGACAAGCAGAGATTTGAGTACTTTTTTTATTGTTTTACAAACTGTTACCATATCACTTCCCAACAGATTTTACTTGTGCCGCAATTGCATTGTCATAAACATAAAATATTCTCTACTCTCACTTACAAATGTACATATATAATCATTTACTCTCTTGTAGAAATTAATAAATTAGAACAATAAATAGTATTTTATTTGACAAAAGCAGCAGACATATCAAATGGCTTATAACAAATGAAAGTATTTGTTTAGGGCATTGTATATTGTGACAGTCTGGCCACTATGCCACATTTTCTTCAAACTTAGTTTTTAACCAGAAAAATGTCCAAGGAAGTAATGGATTACTTGGATGTAGATTTGCCAGAGCCACATGAACTTGGGTCAGTTAGTTGAAAAGGTTACCGAGAGTGGAGAAGGGAACCCTTGGCCCCCTTCTCCACTCTCCCATGGCCCCGCCACATCAAAAGTTGCCCCAAACCCAACCGGTGTACATGTTTCTCAACCTCCAACACCTTGCTATCACTGTAGCTCTGGGGGGTGGAAAATAGTCATGTGAAGTGGAAAGCAAGGTTGAGATAAACACTACCAACCAGACCCTTACACAGAGCTCACGTATCAGGAAGTGGCAGAAGGCAGGAGCTGGGCCTGGAGAGTTCATGGCTTGTCAGGTTGCCGGAGGCAGGCCATTTCTTTGCACCAAGGCACATGAAGTGCTGATTAGTGTTTGCATTGCACGGGGAGGCCAGAGATAAGTGGAGAGGAAGACAGATGTCAGGGGAACAAAGAGGAAGGAGGATGAATGACCCACTAGTTCCCACCAGTCTGCATAAACTGTAAGAGGCTCAGTACTTGGAGAAATTCTTTCACCACTGTGGGTATGAGAGCATACCTTTCCATCACTGGATACCAAACTGGCTGTAGATCTGTTGCACAGTTCTACTTTCACTCTGGTGCGTGACAGTGACTAATGTTCATACCTTTCCTCTACAAGATGAAGTACTTGTTTACTTTACGGTACAATATACATGTTTGTCCACTTGCAGTGCACAGATGTTCATCAGTTTTAAATGAGCACTCCTAGTCTCACAGAAAAAAAAAAACTTAGAGATTTCAATCATTGTCCCTTTCAGTTCTCAAAGACCTCTGCTCAATTTCTTGCCGCTGGTGTTTAGTATCCTTCCTGTTGTGGTAAGACTTTACAGAAAGTTTGAATGTCTGAAAGAGGGGACTATCTGCAGCCGCACTCAGCTACTACCATTCCCTCGTACTTGTACTTGTAAGTGACCACACCTGTGTCATCCAGGTAGAGTAAGGAGATGGGATCCAGCTTGGTTGGCACACAACAGGCTCGTGCTGTTTTCTGGGGACTGTGGATATTCACCAGTGTCTGGACTATGGCATGTTTGGTAGGTGTGACGTGCTTTGTCAATGGGTATGAACAAACACCAGCACATTCAAAGGCGTCATAGCCAGTGGGTGCAAGGATCCAGCTATCCCAGCCAATGTCTTTAAACTCTACGTACAGAGATTGTTTCTTGCAGTGGTTTCCTTTGGCGTTGCGACGAATGCGGGACGCTGTGTCATAGATCAGATTGGAACGCATCTGGATGAGGTCTTCCTCATCTGCTTCAGCCTCACTCTCGTCCTCACCCCACAGCCCACCCAGGTCTGTCCCGAAGTCATTCTGCAGAACAGCACTAGACGTCTCATGGTCTATCATCTCATTCAGCTCACGCCTGTCGTCACGGTGATCACTGCTCTGATCATCAGAGAAGAC